TGGGTGCAATTAAAGTGACAAGCATGATCAAGCCAGCAAGTGGCTGTGATGGTTTTTCTGCTTTAACACTAAACCGAGTTAAGGGGAATTTGGTGCTAAAGGGGAAGCATAACAGCAGGCATAGATACATTAAAAACTGATTCCTAAATTACCTTTAAGTCATTTGGCCCCCTGTCCCCATCGTTTTCAGTCATATTTTGGTCTTTAACTGCCATTGTGTCATGTTCATGTACAAAAACTACTCCTCACTAAATTAGAGGTATTACATTGCCATGGGAGGTGTTTGTTATTAATGAAATGCAGCTTTGCCACCTGCTGCCCTAATGTCACTGGAATCTAAAGAGGTAAGCCCCGAGGAGCACCATGAATATTTAACTATGGAGTGAAAGAGGTGAGGGGGGAATTGCTGGAAAAATGATGCATCCATTGAACAATCATGCAAAACAGAGATGTTAAAGGAAATTTTTTGGCAATAATGCAAAAAACACTAAAAGTTATCGAAAGTTTCTGAGCAGGATTATTTTACATTTTTATTTATGAAACCATTTTTAAGAGACAGTTTTTAATACAAAACATTGGTGTGAATGAATGCACAGCTAAAAGTAAAGATTACTCTTATTATTCAAACTGACTAGAAGAAATGCATTAGTGCTGGGTGTGTGGGGGTGTTGGCACAGTACTAAAATGTGACTGGGATGGAAAACAAAATAAATAATAACAAAACCCACAGATATTGGCATGACTGCCCAGTTGTGTTGTATATGAACGAGTTCAATGGTCACACAACCTTTTCCAGAAATTTAAACGTTCAACTGAATGCATAAAACTGAAAACAACCTAATTTAACCTCATCTCAAACTCAACAAGGTCCTAAAGGCTCTTTACCCAGCAATTATCAACCAACAGTATATACACATCTCTGCTTCATTCCCAAGCACATGACACTTGTTACACATTGTATCTTGCACTAGACATGGGATGGCTGCAGTAGCAGTGTGTAATAGCCTTAACAGAAAAAAGAGCCGCAAGTCCAATAACACAACCAAATTATAAATATAATCCACTGAATACAACATAAAAGTAACATAAACTGTGACAGCCGGTTTTGGATTTATGCCATATAGCCAGCTAAAGCAAAGCTCCTCAATGGGAAATTGAGGATTTGCATTGACAAACTTTGTAAGACAGAGGAATGAATTAATTATGCTCTCACTGTTAGGCTTTTTCTTACATTTTTTGCAATTTGCTCATTGAATGTGATGTGTATAGCAAATTGGCATACCCATGTCATTATGAACTAAAATTAAAAGATACATCTTTGGGGTCTAATAAAGTTTATCATCCCCAGGTCCCTGTCACACAGAATTATTCATCATTGTTACTCATTTTCATACATAGCCACAACATATAGATACTCATTTGTATCATTACAGTGTATTAAAAAGTCCTGTAGAAATTTGTGTTGATTCACACATTTTCATTCAAAGCTGTCATATTAACTCTTTGTAAGGACAAAATCCCTCTCACTTGACATCTGATTTAGACTGTTTTCATTAGGCTGTGGCCACAATTAACAAGGTGAGGAAGTCTTTTGATTTTCTTAAGAAGCCAAAGGCTCTCTAACTATTGTTAGTCCGTTTACCTTCACCTGTTCACTCAACTGAGCAAAATCAATTTAAAAAGCATTCCCACTATTACTCAGACTGCACAGTTGGAGGTGATTTTATTTTTCACTTCATTTCTTCCAAATTGAATCATATTTATAACCCTGCATATCTTCCCAATATCCTTCAGTGTTTATATAGATTGTAAGATATAACTTGTTCTATATAAATTGAGAAGTTTTGTGCTATCCCAAAAATGTGCATGTAGACAATAATCATTGTTTGCTCAGCAGCTGTGGCCTCCCTGAAAAATTTGCAGGGTCAACAGTTTTAGCCTATCAATAACTTATTCCCACATTGTCCTCAAATTGTATTATATGTGGATCCTATTTAATGTGATTTATTGCACCAATTTTAGTTCCCAGAAAAATATCCAGCACGTTCCTGTTTGAACATTTGTAAAATACCATCTTGTGAGTTAAAGAATGCAGAGAGTCAAAAAGACAAATAAAATAAATCTCTAGTTGTGTAGATGAGACCCAGTTTGTTCAGCTATGTTTTAATAAACACCACATCTCAGGGATGATTCATTTCTAACAATAAATCTGACAAGTTTCTCCAACTAACTAGTTGGGAGAGTTCGGCTTGCTCAAATAGCATTGTAAGGACTTCTCATACATACAGAACAATACATGCGCAACTACCCCAATAAGAACAGATTTTCATTTCCAAAACAAACTAATAATCTTAATCAGTGTTAACACCAAACCTAACTAAATTGAAGGTAAGAACCATTTCACCTTTTCCATTTCCATCGTTGCAGTCTGTTTCTTTCATGTTCATTTGATGTGTTGCAGGAAGGCTCACCATGATTTCAGTCAAGCAAAACATCAAGAAATGTTACTTTCATGCAGTATATATAGACAAATTTTAACATTTCCACAACACTGCTTAAAATACCAAGAAAGATAAGTAAGATAAGTTAACTTGTGAATATCTTTGAAAACCCCAAAGTAAAATGCATTCCACTGAAGCAAGAGAGAAAAGATGGACCTGATTGTCTCTGTGCAGGATTTGTGAGTCTGTATATGTCTGTGTCTGCATGATTTGACAGCGGGAAACACAGTTTACTGCAGTGTATGTCACTGTCTCACTGATAGCTCTACCCTCTGATATTTCTCTGGTTGCCCCAATGCTTTGATTTGCATAGATCACAGGCAGCTAAATGTACCGGTATGCTGTCAAAGCAGCTGCATAGGCATTTTGGAAGTGCACCACGGGGGCTTTTCTTCATGATTCTCATCAGTATGAATGATTTTTTTCTTCATATTAGCCTTATATGGACAACCTGTCAGTTGCCTCATTTTGCAGCTAGTATTTTGTGAGAATTGTTATCTTTTAAATGTTCTTTTTCTGCTTTTATTCAAATGAATGGGAAAGCCTTTAAATGCTTCAAAAAGTTTGACGGTATTGAGTTTTAACCAAATGACTTTTATCTTCAAAATGTTCAGACATTCTTTAAATATGACAGTTTCAAAATCATCATTGTCCAAACTAGAAGTGACGCAATTTTGGTGGCGCATGAATGCATCTTCTGGTTTGTGACATCACTTCTGGTTTTGGACACAAGTGCACCCAAAATGATGCTGGATTGGAAGACTGACTGGCATTGTATATGCTGCTCAAATAACTGCACATTGTGACTTGATGTTTATTCTTGATAATTTTCTACGTCATCATGAGAGTAATTGAACTGGACTAAGCAAAGAAAATTCTCTCTATGATGGTATCATAACACTCATTTTCTGGGTCACTAAATATTCATGAGGACTCAAAGCAAATTATGGTTTGTTTTTAGAAACAGCAACTATGAGCATGTTGTCTTTAGAGACTACAATTCCTATTTGACCACACTAACAAACCAGCCTGCAGCTCAAGTTCCCCACATGAATATGTATGGCATACCCCATTTGTGACTTTCTGGGTAGAAAATGAGCTGAGCACAATCAACCAAGACCAAATCTTTGTCTGACAACTCTGCTGGAAGATTAGCATCTTTTTGTCAGGGCTGAGTATCCCTCTGTCTTTCCTCTGGGACCAGAGGATGAGAAGGTCAGCTGTGGCCCACAGGAATATCCCGGGGGTGTGGAATGAG